ACTTTTAATAATATTGCAATGGTTTGGTTATTAAAAATATATATTTACACTATATTTATTACTGAGAGCATGCATGAAGAAAGAAATTTACTTTCCTTTTAGATTCAACATATTTTTTCTACGAGATGTGCCGTATAGACGTCTTACGGACGTCTATGATCACTAGGTGGAAGAAGAATAATTTATTGATAGCTTAAAGTCAATGCTGTCAGCAAGCTCACATTTAATAAAAATTATTGTGAATCCGAAAAGATGTTGTTTTGTCTTTGTTGATCACAGATCATTTTGGTATTTAGTCTACTAAAACTGGCATAACTGAAACTAAACTAAAAAATGACATCCTACTAATTATCTCATTAAATCTTATCGGTTATGTTTATGAGCACACTCCTACAAAATCTTATTTTGGAGGAGCCTTACTTTAAGTTTTTAGAATCAGTATTTGTGGAAATCATATTTTCTAAAGAATCAAACATCATTATTGGCTGTATTTATTGCCATCCTAGTATGAATATTTCAGAATTTATTAAATCATATTTAGTTCCACTTTTTGAAAAGCTATTTGTGAAAAAAAAAAAAAACTACTTTTTTAATTGGGCGATTTTAACGTCGATCTTTTATTAGCAAACTCGGGAAATTATGTCTGAATTTTTAGACATCATTGCTTAAAATAACTTTTTTCCTTTTATTTCATTGCCTACAAGAATCACGAATCCACTCCAAAACTCTAATTGATAACATATTTTCTGATGCAACTTCTAAAAATATTTTTGTCGGTAATTTTACTTCTACAGTATTAGACAAATTACCACAATTTTTAATACATCCATTTTATAGAACCAATTAATCCTCGTAAAAGCTGCATTTTTCTTCGGAATTAAAAAAAATAAATTGCGAGGAATTATGTAGTGATTTCTCAAAAATTAGCTGGACTAATGTAATCAATGTCAACGAAGTTAAGACAAATAAGTCATTTGAAGAAATTTTCATAAGTTTCAATACTCTTTTAGATAATCATACAGCACTAAAAAAAGTCAGCCATTACTGCTTATCAAGGGGTCTCAAACCTTGGATAACACGTGAAATCTCAACTTTAATTAAAATACGAAATAAAGTTTTTAACATATTTCTTAAAGCAAAGAATCCTAATAACTCAATCTAGAAAAATTTTATAAAACATCTAGAAACTTATGTATTCTTGTATTTAAAACTTTTTGAATAATTCTGCTTGTTTTCATAATCGACAGTTTGGGTTTCGCTTAACTCACTCCGCTTCTCACGCTCTTATTAGCATTACTGAAATGATTCGTGGTACAATTGACAGTGGTTCCTTTGTTTGTGGTGTATTCATAGATCTTCAAAAAGCTTCTGATACGGTTGATCACAACATTATAATAAAAAAGTTAAACTACTAAGGAATACGTGATATTGCTAATCATTGGTTTTCTTCATATATTTGGGATCGCACTCAGTTTGTTTCAATTAATGGATTTGAATCCACATATAAAGTTATTAAACATAGCGTTCCACAAGGTTTTGTTCCTGGACCGTTATTGATTTTATTATATATAAATGATTAATTCTATGGTACATCATTATGTTGATGATACCAATCTTTTATATACGACTCTTTGTAAAAAAGTTAATCAAGATTTTCATTGCTTATGTAACTGGTTAAATAGTAATCGCATTTCTTTGAATATCTATAAAACTGAATACATTATTTTTTATTTCCCTCAAAAAACTATTGATAATATTAAAATTGAAATTAAGGGAAAAAAGCATTTTTCCGTCAAAATGTATAAAGTATCTTGATGAAAACCTATCTTGGTATAATCAACTGTATCATTTAAAAAAAAATACGAGCTAACAGTATGCTTTCTCTAGTTCGTTACTATGTTCCTATCGAAACTCTTCGGATGGTTTATTCTTCTTTATTCTCTTCTCACCTTTATTATTGTTGTATTGTTTGGAGTCAAAAAAGAAACATTTTACTTAATAGCATTGGTAGTTTACAATACGCTTCTATTAGAATAATGACGTTTTCGCCAATGAGATCTGATATCCAAAAAAAATTTCCTGAACTAAAAATCCTAAAACTCCATGATCTTATAAAGTTTTACAATTGTCTTTTTATGTTTGATTTTCTCCAAAATAAACTACCAAACTCTTTTTTAAATTTTTTTATTAAAATAAATGAAATTCATTATCATCACGCCAGGAGTACATAAAAAATATGCCTTTGTTACGGATTATCTACTGCTTAACAAAATTCAATTTAAAAATATATTGTTGGAGTGTATTTCTTTATAATTTCTCTCTGTATTGTAGTTGTCTTTATTATATAATTTCTTTAACAAACAAGTGGTTTGATTTTTGCTTTTATCTATATTAAATTTATTTATTATCGTGTTATTATTGCTACGTTTTATGTTATTAACATATTCAATTATTATCTATGATATGTACTAGGATGTCCAGAATTCCGGCCGGAATTTGTGAATTTAAGGGCATTTCGTTTCCGCCCGCAATTATAATATTTCAGGCCGGAATGCTGCACAGTGGTTCAAGATCCTTAAAAAGTGGCAAAAAAGGAAAAAAATTTAAGTCTTTAGTTTGTAAACACAAATAACTTTTAATTATGGTAAGGCCAGATGCATAAAAATTTAAAACTTTTCTTGAAGCTATTGCAAGATTGTGTATTAATTTGAAGCACTTTACTAATGCTTTTTTTATGACGGAAAAAAAACGGAAATGTTCGATAAAATAGTCAGTTAAAGAAATTTATTTTATGGAGACATAGTAGTTAAAGTGTTAGTATTTTTTATTAATTTACTTATATTGTGTCAAATCACAATGTAAATGAAAGATTTTTTTTAAAGATTATTAGGTTTAAGCCATTACTCAGCATGAAGAAAAATATTAGTAAAAAATTTTTTTTTTATTAGTAACACATTATTTATGGTGCAAGAACAAAAATGTTCCACATAACTCCACGCTTAAGTTGTTTTTATGTGTTTTTGAGTACTGTCAGCAATATACTATTGAATGGAATAAAATTTACCTGCTCCAATTTGCTCCAATCTAAAATAGAGCTTTTATGATTTACTTGCTAAATATTATAATCAGCGAGTGTATGATAAAAGATTGGAGCAAATTGAAGCAAGTAAATTTTATTTAATTATTTTAAATATAAGCTCTTTCAAAAAAAGAGTATCAGCGTTACCTAATATTTTTAGTCTGAATATATATATATTTATATATATATATATATATATATATATATATATATATATATATATATATATATATATATATATATATATATATATATATATATATATATATATATATATATATATATATATATATATATATATGTACAAATATTTTAAATTGTATTCTACAAAATAGAGTGCTCAATGTTCTTAAAAAAACATAGCTATAATAAATTAGTAGAAAATCACTTATTAAATTTTTTTCATTTTGATGAGTCTTTATTGATGAAACACAGTGTAAAATATAAAAAAATTTGATTTGTAATTTTTTACTAATTTATATATATATATATGGATTTTCAAAATACTTGTAGCTATTAAGTTATAATGTAAATGACAATAAGATTGTTAAACTATTGATAACTTTTTGTGTGTTATGTAATAGATAATATATAAAAAACTAGGTTTCAATAAAGTTAATTTGCTGGAATCTTTGTTTAAAGAAGTTTTATATGTTTATAACCTTCATGAAGATGACTTCAATAAATCAGAGCTTACCAACTTAAAGAATAAGTTGTCTGTTTTTAAAGCAAAAGTGGGAAATAAGTTAGAAAAGCATAATAGAAACTATGACAGATTGATTTTAAAAGAGGGTGTTTGGCTACAGGTAAGGAAACAAAAGTATTTCTTAATAAATTTTTTTTATGCACTCGTTTTATTTAATTAAGTTTCTATTTACAGGAGGAGTTTTTTCCAGATCTTGTTAAAAGAATTAAATCTAAAGAAGGTCCAGGTAGAAAAAATAAAGTTTGGGAAAATCTTGGTGAAAGAAGCAAAAGAGCTAAAATTGCCTATTTGGCTGAAAACAATCACGAAGCATTGGCTTTAGCTTCTTTAAAAAGTGCTGCAACTGAATCCAACATTAATAAAAACAATTTTATCTTTTTAGTAAAGAAGGCTTTGGACCCAGATAAAGCAAATAAAATTAGAAAAAACATGTCTATGCATGAACCTGTTAAAATGAAAGTTGAAGATGCTCTCAGCCTAAAAATTTAATGTGATCTGTCCGATGAACAATATCAGATAATCAGAAATAGCTCCCTATTACAAAATGCAAACATCCATCTGTCTCTTCATAAAATTTTAACTGAAAAAAAGAAATGCTATCCTGATAATATGATTTTTTCAGAAACATCTGCAGTTTGCTCCCTTCAATCTCTTTTTAATCACACACTGTGTAGAGTCTTGAGTCTAAATAGTTGCAACAAAATATTTTCTGAATTATTGGTTAAAGATATCAATCAACATGGAATTATGCATTTCAAAGGTGGTTTTGATGGAGCGTCTAGCCAGAGTCTGTATAAACAAAAATATTTAGATACAACTCTAGATGAAGTTATTAAAAATGAAAAGAGTATTTTCCAAACATCTATTGTGCCTCTTAAACTGACTGTTAATGATACAGTAATCTGGTACAACAAAAAACCATCTAGTACATATTTCTGCAGACCAGTATGTTTGCAGTACAAGAAGGAAACAAATGTGCTAATTAAAGAAGAAGAAGAACAATTACGAATTGAAATTCAGAAACTTGAACCATTTGTAGTAAGTTTAGAATCAAAACCGACTGAGTCATCTATGACAGCAATTATAAAGTATAATTTGGATTTGACTATGTTTGATGGTAAGGTTATTAATGCACTGACAAGTACTACCTCTTCTCAAAGCTGTAAAGTATGTTCAGCAAAGCCAACAGAGATGAATGACATTAAATTGATTAGATCTAAACCTGTCAATAAAGAAGCTTTATTTTTTGGCTCTACACCTCTTCACTGTTTTTTTTTTTTTTTTTTTTTTATTTGCATTCACTCCCAACAAGGCTGCAAGCAACCACTATTAAGTTGGGAGTTACTAGGAAAAAAAAGAACAGAGTTATAGAGCAAGGAAACGGTTGACAGAAGACTTGAAAAGTTGAAGGTTGTAGAAGTCAGGAAAACATGAAGATGGGAGAGATTTCCAAAGGATTGAAGTGCGGGGAAAAAAACTAGATGAATAAAAGTTTTTAGAGCATGCTGGGGCAGATACAGTAAACGAATGAGACTTAGCTGAATGACGAGTAAAACGAGAATGAATTTTAGTTGATGGAACTAGAGATGATAACTCCTTTGAGCAGTGACCATGATAGTATCTGTAGAAAAGAGAAAGAGATGCAACTTTACGACGATGGGAAAGAGGTTCAAGCTTAGCAGATAGCCCAGGTCCAACAATATTTACAATGCGATTTTGGACCTTGTCAAGAAGAGAAAGTGAATCGTTAGAAGAACCAGCCCAAATATGACAACAGTATTTCATACAGGGACGAATAAGAGATTTGTAGAGGTAGAGAATGGAATCAGAAGTAAGGAAATGGCGAGCACGATAAAGAGAAGCAACCTTAGCAGAAGCTAATTTAGCAATCGATTGCATATATGGTTTCCATGAAAGGTCAGTAGTAAGCGATAATCCAAGAAGACGTAAAGAGGACGACTCAGTAAGAGGATTGCCATTCATTAATATAGAAATGTTGACCATACTACGGTAGTTGTTTGCAGTAAGCAATTGGGTTTTTTTAGAGTTGAAATTCACAAGCCACTGTGAACTCCAATCTATTACTAAAGTGAGATCAGATTCAAGATCAGCTGCTTGTTCTAGGCGATCGAAAAGAGAAGACTTTTTGTCAAGACAGGAGTATAAAGTTGAGTCATCAGCAAAAAGAGCTACTTTAGATGAAAGGTTGTCAGGAAGATCGTTTATGTAGATAAGAAACAAAACAGGGCCCGGGATGGAACCTTGGGAAACCCCAGAAGTTACTGGAAATAAAGAAGAGTGTTGGCCTTCAAGGATGACTTTAATAAACCGGTCAGAAGGAAATGATTTGATAATCTCAAAAACTTTCCCAGAAACACCATATGAAGCAAGCTTATGGAGAAGACCAGCATGCCAAACTTTGTCGAAAGCTTTAGATATGTCGAGAGCAATAGCCCTAGCCTCACCGCCTCCATCTAATGCACAATAAAATCTTTCAGTTACAGCAGTTAGCACGTCGGCCGTAGAGCGAGAGGATCGAAAACCGTATTGATTGTCTGACAGTAGTTTATTTGACTCAAGATGAGATGTGAAGAATTTGTTGATCAAAGAATCAAAGACCTTGCTAATAACAGAAAGAAGACTGATCGGACGATAATTGGAGGGGTCAGAATTTATTCCAGAGTTTTTGAATATTGGAATTACAGATGCCATTTTCCAACAAGCAGGAAAACAAGACTCAGTCAAACACTTGTTAAATAGTTTAGAGAGAATTGAAGAAAGTTCTGGAGAACAATTCTGCAAGACTGTGACAAGAATGTTGTCTGGACCATAAGCTGTAGACGAGTTTAATTGAGATATGACTTTAGCAACAGAAGCCGGAGTGATTTGAATGTCTAACAATGGGTCAACCTGTTTGACTGGAATGGAAGGAAGAGAATGTCCATAAGATTCAAGAGTGGAATTAGAAGAAAAGTTCTTTGCAAACAGTTCTGCCTTATCCCTGGGAGAGGTAACAAGATCAGTCCCATGAATGAGAGATGGAATGTTAGATCTACCCTTGTTAACAATGTTGTTGAAGATTTTCCAAAAGCCTTTAGAGCCTAACTTCTGCGATAAGATGCGAGATTTAGTGAACTGAGAATAATGGAGTTTAGCATCAGAAAGCACCTTTTTACATCGATTTCTTGCAATAATAAATAGCCGTTTGTTCTCAAGAGAGTTGTTCTTTTGAAAAAGATGAAAAAAATGGTTACGATTGGATATAGCAGCCGCACAAGAAGGAGAAAACCATGGAGTAGAATGAGGCTTGACTTGAAACCGACGAGAAGAAATAAAAGCTTCCATTCCAGCCTGAATCCAGGAGGTTACGTAGGAGGCGCATTTGTCAGCTGAGAGAGAAAAAACATCAAGGACCATCAAGAAGAAAATCACGAAAGGAATCCCAGTCAGCTTTAGGGTAGTAGTAGGTGGTGCGATGATAAGGTGAGCCCAAAAAAGAAGTACGAGAAGAAAGATTTACAGAGATCATTGCGTGGTCAGAACCACCTAAGGGAGAAAAGGGAGAAACTGAACATAAGCTAGGGTCAGAGACTAGACATAAGTCAAGGAGTGAAGGTAAATGATTAGAGTTGTCAGGAAAACGAGTCACAAAGTTAACTATCTGAGTAAGAGATTGAGAAACGCAGAAGTTAAAGGCTTTAGTGCAAGCAGGATCAGTGGTGTTAGAGCCAAGCCATTCAGTGTGATGGGCATTAAAATCACCAACAACAACAATATTGGCAGAGGGGTAAAGAGAGAGGGCATGGTCAATTTGATCAGAGATAACATCTAAAAGAGTGCAATCATGGGAAGAAGGAGAACGATAAAGAACGAAGAGAAAGGTGATAGAGTGAAGAGGTGCTAGGCGAAAGCACATAAAAGAATGGTCAAAGGATTCGAACCTGATTTCACGACAAATAGGGGAATTAATGCGTATGTAAACCCCTAAACCTAGCATGTGACTTTTGGAGTCTTTACGAATCAAAGGATTGTACCCATCAACACTGACATCTGAAGAAGGAATTGCAGAACTTAAATTTGTTTCACTGAGTGCAAGCAAGTCTGGTGAATTTTGCAGGAGGTAAGACTCAACTGATGGAAAGTTGCTTCGTAGACCGCGAATATTTGTAAAAGATATATTAAAATATTTAGGTGGTGGGGATGGTATTTTAGGTTTTAAATTTTCGCTTACTTTGGTCATGATTTGGGTTTAATGAGAACTTGACTCATTCATAGATAGAGCACAGCCTCCTAATCAATGAGCTATGCAGTTGTCTCAGTCCTGTTAATTAACTCTAAGCCGTGACATAGGGCTCCTTATGTGGCCTTGGCAATGCACACCAAAAGCATTAACAGGGACACCATCCATGCGCAACATGGCACTGTTAATACTCTGATATTTTGCAGCTGTTGATGGAATTAGCTTCTCTGAGAGCTACCACAGAGTTCGGGAAACCTTACTACCAACCGGCCTCAGAACCATTAAACTGAGTTTTAGAGCTGTACCCTCATATGGAGATAACAGGAAGAGTTGCATAGCCATTATCAAAGAGGCATAAGCAAAATTCTATGAGTAGAGTCAAGGAGATCCAGCATTCATCATCCTAAGCAGGAAACAATGTAACACAGGTTACGTCTACGCCAGCCTAATAGATGAAGAAGGGGTTCGAGGCTGGATAAGATGCTTTGAGTACATTCTTCACCTTGGATATAAATTGAAAATTAGGTCATTTTATGCTAAAACATCTGAGCAGAAAGAATCAGTTAAAGAAAGAAAAGCATTTATTCAAAAGAAGTTTAGGGAAAAACTAAGTCTTATTGTTGACCTGCCAAAACAAGGTTTTGGAAACACTAATGATGGTAATACTGCCAGAAGAGCCTTTGAGGAATCGATTACCTTCTCTGAGATAACTGGTGTAGATGTTGACATCATTTCTAGACTTGAAACAATTTTAAAAGCAGTTTGTTCAGGATATGATTTAGATCCAAGCTCTTTTGAAAGTTATTGCAATGATACAACAGATAAAATTCTTTCTGAATATAATTGGTATGTTATTCCTCCACGCGTTCACAAACTTTTAGAACACGGTTTACAGATTGCCAATGCATTAGAACTTCCCATTGGAGTTTATTCAGAAGAATCACTAGAGGCTCTTAACAAAGAGATTAGAAATGCAAGATTAAACCATTCATGCAAAATTTCAAGGATAAATGTTATGAAAAACCAATTTAACTATCTTATGATAAGGAGTGATCCAGTTATATCGAGTATTCAATTCACTAACCATAGATGTGAAAATGGGAAATTGCTCCCAATAGAAGTTCTTTCTCTTCTTAAACAGTCGTGATTTTTTTGAGAATTTTATTTTTTATAGATACATTTGCATCAAAAGTTAAAATTTAAATTTAGAATAGTTATAATCGTAATTTTCAAAGTATATTCTAATTCTCAGAGTATAATTATTATATGCTCTTTGTTGATGTCTGAATTTTTTTTTAATTAATTATCATTCTTTCAATCATTGTTTTTATCAAAAGAGGAGGGTAATAATTGATGAAATAAATTTGAAATAATTAAAAATAAATTATTTTATGAACTAAAATTTGAAATAGTTATAATAGTAATGCTCAATAGAATGCTCAAAGAATTGTATTCTTTTTATTGAGGAATGAATTTTTTTTTTTTTTTTTTTTTTAAAGTTCTTTCAATCATTGTTTTTAACAAAAGGGGTAGTAATTATGACAATATTGGATGGTAGTGTACCGAGTGATCACGCCTAATTACAAGTTGGAGAGAGTTAAAAAAAGATTTAAAAATAAATTATGTATTTATGCAAACTATTACTTGATTCGAGAAGTTAAATTAAAAAAAAAAATCTGCTTGCGCGTATCAAATTTTTTACATACGTATTTTTTAGATACGCGCACGTTTTGCTGGTTGTTGCGCGTAAAAATATTTTAAAATTACATAATTGATCTTTTGACTAAAAAAATAATAACTATTTCTTTAATACATATTAACATGCGATGGTTATATAATTTTTGCCGTTTTTTCTTCAGTTTGAGTCACTGTGTGACTTTATTTTTTACTCTATTTATTTAAGACGCGTGACACATACTGTGTAAATTAAAGTCAAAAAGTCATTGTCCTACAGGGCAATGAAGAACTATGGGTA